ATAGAAATATACATTTCTATTATTTACTTGTTTATAAGACAACATTTCGCAGTAGCCCCGTAGAATAGAAATACACATTTCTATTATTTACTTGTTTATAAGACAACGTTTCGCTAGTATAGAAATATACATTTCTATTATTTACTTATTTATAAGACAACATTTCGCAGTAGCTCCGTAGAATAGAAATATACATTTCTATTATTTACTTGTTTATAAGACAACGTTTCGCTAGTATAGAAATATACATTTCTATAATTTACTTGTTTATAAGACAACAATTCGCAGTAGCCCCGTAGAATAGAAATATACATTTCTATTATTTACTTGTTTATAAGACAACATTTCGCTAGTATAGAAATATACATTTCTATTATTTACTTGTTTATAAGACAACATTTCGCAGTAGCCCCGTAGAATAGAAATATACATTTCTATTATTTACTTGTTTATAAGACAACGTTTAGCTAGTATAGAAATATACATTTCTATTATTTACTTGTTTATAAGACAACATTTCGCAGTAGCCCCGTAGAATAGAAATATACTTTTCTATTATTTACTTGTTTACATTTCTATTATTTACTTGTTTATAAAGTAACATTTCGCTAGCAGTCCCATAGAATAGAAATATACATTTCTATTACTTATTTGTTTATAAAAACAACGTTTTCGCTAGTATAAAATATACATTCTATATTTACTTTGTTTATACAGATCAAATTCGCAGTGCCCCGTAGAATAGAAATATACATTCTGTTATTTACTTGTTTATAAGACAACGTTTCGCTAGTATAGAAATATACATTTCTATTATTTACTTGTTTATAAGACAACATTTCGCAGTAGCCCCGTAGAATAGAAATATACATTTCTGTTATTTACTTGTTTATAAGACAACGTTTGGCTAGTATAGAAATATACACTTTCATTATTTACTTGTTTATAAGACAACAATTCGCAGTAGCCCCGTAGAATAGAAATATACATTTCTATTATTTACTTGTTTATAAGACAACGTTTAGCTAGTATAGAAATATACATTTCTATTATTTACTTGTTTATAAGACAACGTTTCGCTAGTATAGAAATATACATTTCTATTATTTACTTGTTTATAAGACAACATTTCGCAGTAGCCCCGTAGAATAGAAATATACATTTCTGTTATTTACTTGTTTATAAGACAACGTTTCGCAGTAGCCCCGTAGAATAGAAATATACATTTCTATTATTTACTTGTTTATAAGACAACATTTCGCAGTAGCCCCGTAGAATAGAAATATACATTTCTGTTATTTACTTGTTTATAAGACAACGTTTCGCTAGTATAGAAATATACACTTCCATTATTTACTTGTTTATAAGACAACAATTCGCAGTAGCCCCGTAGAATAGAAATATACATTTCTATTATTTACTTGTTTATAAGACAACGTTTAGCTAGTATAGAAATATACATTTCTATTATTTACTTGTTTATAAGACAACGTTTCGCTAGTATAGAAATATACATTTCTATTATTTACTTGTTTATAAGACAACATTTCGCAGTAGCCCCGTAGAATAGAAATATACATTTCTGTTATTTACTTGTTTATAAGACAACGTTTCGCTAGTATAGAAATATACACTTCCATTATTTACTTGTTTATAAGACAACAATTCGCAGTAGCCCCGTAGAATAGAAATATACATTTCTATTATTTACTTGTTTATAAGACAACGTTTCGCTAGTATAGAAATATACATTTCCATTATTTACTTGTTTATAAGACAACATTTCGCAGTAGCCCCGTAGAATTGAAATATACATTTCTATTATTTACTTGTTTATAAGACAACGTTTAGCTAGTATAGAAATATACATTTCTATTATTTACTTGTTTATAAGACAACATTTCGCAGTAGCCCCGTAGAATAGAAATACACATTTCTATTATTTACTTGTTTATAAGACAACGTTTCGCTAGTATAGAAATATACATTTCTATTATTTACTTATTCATAAGACAACATTTCGCAGTAGCTCCGTAGAATAGAAATATACATTTCTATTATTTACTTGTTTATAAGACAACGTTTCGCTAGTATAGAAATGTACATTTCTATTATTTACTTGTTTATAAGACAACATTTCGCAGTAGCCCCGTAGAATAGAAATACACATTTCCTATATTTACTTGTTTAATAAGACAACCGTTTAGCTAGAATAGAAATATACATTTATATTATTTACTTGTTTATAAGACAACATTTCGCAGTAGCCCCGTAGAATAGAAATATACATTTCTATTATTTACTTGTTTATAAGACAACGTTTAGCTAGTATAGAAATATACATTTCTATTATTTACTTGTTTATAAGACAACATTTCGCAGTAGCCCCGTAGAATAGAAATACACATTTCTATTATTTACTTGTTTATAAGACAACGTTTCGCTAGTATAGAAATATACATTTCTATTATTTACTTATTTATAAGACAACATTTCGCAGTAGCTCCGTAGAATAGAAATATACATTTCTATTATTTACTTGTTTATAAGACAACGTTTCGCTAGTATAGAAATATACATTTCTATAATTTACTTGTTTATAAGACAACAATTCGCAGTAGCCCCGTAGAATAGAAATATACATTTCTATTATTTACTTGTTTATAAGACAACATTTCGCTAGTATAGAAATATACATTTCTATTATTTACTTGTTTATAAGACAACATTTCGCAGTAGCCCCGTAGAATAGAAATATACATTTCTATTATTTACTTGTTTATAAGACAACGTTTAGCTAGTATAGAAATATACATTTCTATTATTTACTTGTTTATAAGACAACATTTCGCAGTAGCCCCGTAGAATAGAAATATACTTTTCTATTATTTACTTGTTTACATTTCTATTATTTACTTGTTTATAAAGTAACATTTCGCTAGCAGTCCCATAGAATAGAAATATACATTTCTATTACTTATTGATAACGAAATCAACATTTCGTTAATAGCAACAGAAATAGAGGAACCTAGATTCGAGTAATAAAACCTCTACCTACGTCGTACGTCCTACCATAGCCAACTTTTCACTGCTCTTATCAAATAAATTTATTGTAGGACTGGGCCTGGAATCCGGCGAGCAACACCTCGGCCAGGAAGGTTCGTTACAATTGGCGCCCGAGCAGGGACAGTGGAAACAGATACCAGTTAACATCGTCATTTTCTTTTACCATGGGACAGTATTCTTATCTCCAGACAGTTGAACAAGTCGAGAAATGGTGTGTTAAATTTAATGGTAGTAAGAACCCGTTGGGCTTTAACGAAAACATTGAAGAACTTGCAGACATCTATGGCATCGTCATAAATCTAATTTCCAAGATAATGCCTATACTGCTCGAAGATAAAGCACTAATGTGGTATCGCTACAAGAATAAGCATTGGCAGCTATGGACAAGTTTTAAGGCCGATTTCCTAAATTTCTTTTTGCCACCTAGATATTATGAAAAATTAGCAGATGAAATAGGATCTCGACGTCAAAGGCCACCAGAAAGCTTTAAGGGTTATTTAATTACCATTAAAGATCTGATGCGACATGCTGGCATGGATCAAAATTCGCAACTAGAACGAATATATCACAACATATTCACTAACTGCCAAAAGTATATCAAACGTCAAGATTTCGAGACTTTAGAAGAACTAATTTTACTAACCGATGTATTCGAAGCACTTGGCACAGAGCAGGTTAAAACATGTCGAAGCGATGGTCAAGAAGAAGCGCTCATCAGGCTCACAGTAGTCGAGTATTCACAAGTGATCCCGTTACAGAAACCCATTAAATGATCCCCGCAGTCTAAATATCGAGTCACATTCCAAATCAAGCACATCAATGCAAAGCACACAAGGTCAGATTTATCCAGAGCAACATCCTCAATATTCTCAATCAAAAGAAAGGATTCATGCCCAAGCACATGAAGTACAATATCAGCAAGATCTGCAACGCAAAGAAAGTCTGCAAGTTGTTAATCGGATTTACAATACGCAAGATCAAGTAAAATTACAATTGCAAGTACAAGACATAGAACCACAACGAGATCCACAGTTGCGCGTAGAACAACCGATTATACTCTCGACTAAATTAGTGGCAACCTCATCACTTCCCGTACCTCAAGGACAAACACTAGCAGAGACTTCGCTAAT